AACATCATCAGTGCTGATAGGGAGTGGTGTTTGCTCTCATTTTATTTTGTAAGGCAGTGATGGCAAACCTTTTCGGCACCAAGTGCCCACACCAGAACATGCGTGCATGAGTGTGTGCCATAGTGCCATAAACCCAAAGACCAGCTGTCTGGTATGTGCATGCCTGTTTATTATCTGTTTTTGACCATTTTGGAGTGGTTTTTTTTCAGGCTGTTTTTGGAAAAGGTTCGAAAAATGCCCCCCAAAACCAGCCTGTTTTTGGACATTTTCAGGACATTTTCCAGCTCTCCACCACCCGCAAAGACCAACTGGCTGGGAAACCAGAAGAGAAGCTGGCAATGGCATATGTGCCCCCAGAGAAGGCTCTGTGTGCCATCTCTGGCACACATGCCATAGGTTCACCATCACGGTTGTAGGAGCTTGCCCTGTCAGTGTTGTAGTAGTGGGTCTTGGTGGTTCTTTGATTGCCCTGCTTACTGTCACTTAATCTAACAAGATTCAGAGCAGCTTACAATAGACAACAACAATAACAATATAAAACCATTATAAATAAAACTAAGCCAATCCTCCCTGACTTGTTATTCTGTGTCTTGCATTCATGTACTCTACACTATCATTACCCTCCCAAAAATATTTTCCAGAATTGGTTGGTGGGAAGCTGTCAAGGGACTCCTGCAGATGCACAAACTCATCACCACAGTTTTGTAACTGAAGTCAGAGAAAGATTTCTTCCAGGCAACAAAATGCAATAAAATCTAGTTCATTGAAAGGAACATATATGATTCAAGCTGCTTTATGACTGAAATAGAAATAGCAAATATAATATCATTTGCCAGCTGTCTCACAATTGCTCATTTAACAACTGTCTAAACTCATGATGTGACTTGAAATGGCTATATTAAATACAGTGCTGGGAGATTACTGGAATATCTGCTGTTTCCTTTCAGTTCTATAGAATTTATAGATCTCCAATAGGCTTTCTTGCTTGCTTTATTCAGTTTGTATGACTGCCCATTTCAACAAGTGACACTGCCCCATGTAATCTTTTAATGAGAGTGGGGGAGGGAGGGAGAGAGATGGAGGGAGGGAGGGAAGAGAGGGAGAGAGAGAGAGAGAGAGAGAAAGAAAGAGAAAGAGAGAGACAGAAACTCTTATACAAAGAAGGAATATATTGTGAAGCAAAACAACAACCTCAGGAATGGTTCTGATCTGAAAATCTCCATATCAAGCTTTCTTAGCTTTCTTAGAAAATGAGAACAAGAAAAAGTAGCAAGAAAGAAAGAAAAAAAGGGGGGGGAGGACCAGGGATCATCTCTTTCTGTAGAAGGGAATGTTAATGTTACAGTACATTTCACTAATGTTAGGTAGCATTTTATTAAACTTAGGCAGTATACTATACATAACATGCTTTCAAACTTCCAGTTGAATCACCAGCCCCAAAAGGAGACCACTGCAATAGTTTGAATGTTTTTTCTAGTGTTCTCTGATACTGTATCTAACAAATATTTCTATAGTGATCATTATAAAAGAGAGAGTGGAATGAATGGACACTATATCATAAATATTTTTTTATCATTTCATCTCACAGGAGTTGTGCTTCTCATTTACTAAGCTTGCCATAAAAGTAGTTGACCTGTTTGATTCATAGAACGGCATGTATTGCCACTGCTACTGTATTTCACATTATAGTTTCATTCACCATGACATAGACAGTAGAGATTTTAGAACTAAATTCAGTGATAAGATAGATACATCAACCATCTAGAGCTCTGACTGATCAGGAAATGTATTTCTGCATGCAAAAATATGCAGAAAATGCATCATGCACATGCTTTCTTCATTTAAATAAACATTGATTATGAATCATAAAAGTTAGACACTCCTTGGATTAGGATGCACTTTGAAAGAGCCAAGTTTACTATTAGTACAGAAAGATAATAAATTAAGTGAAAGAAAGGATGACTGTTGTATTCCATGAGCTGACTATTAATGAACAAGATGGTAGGATTTTTTTAAAAAATAATACATTGTGGCATTACAACACATAAAACCTTATTTTAATGCCTTAAGGGAATGGAAATATACTACCAAAGAGATATTCTATGAGTGCATAATACACTGGGATTCTGATTCAGAAGAAGTAATAGAGACCTGAACCATAAGAATTCAGAAAACAGAGTTGGAACAGACCTTAGAGATGTTTCAGTCCAACCCCTGCTCATGCAGGAGACTCTATAGCATTTCAGACAAATGGCCACCCAATCTCTTCTTAAAAAACATTCAGTGATGGAACACCTATAGTTTCTGGAGGCAAAACAATTACTTGTTGTATCTGTCAGGAAGTTTTTCCTTATTTCTAAGTTGGAGCTCTCCTTGATTTAGTTTCCATTTATTGTTTCATTTTTGTGGCAGCTTCTTAAGTATTGGAACACTGTTGTCATGTCAATACTTGTCCTTCTAAGGAATGACATTCTGGATACTAACAGCATGTTAAAATAATTTTATAAAAGTATTAGCAAAGAATAAAAAGCAGCAATAGCCTCTTATTCATAATATAGATAGGATCATGTTTTGAAGATATACCTCTGATTTTTTATAAAACAATCTCCCAATATAGCAAGTCTGTTTTTAATAGCTGCACATCATCATTTCTGCAATCTTCTATTAATTTTAAGATGGATTTCAAGAGCCTGTGGCTGAAGTCAGTCACATTCCCCAATAATATGATATGCTACAGCAAATCATTATGAGAGGCATTTCATTATATGAGAGAGTTTTGTCCTAACTTAGAATGAACAACACCTGAAAATTTGGGGAATCCATTATAAGTCCACTGATCATTGGTATAGGAAAATTATTTATTGATAAATGAAATGATGTAATCTCATACAAATGATATTTTTATTTATAGCTAGCATGACCATAGATAAAATTTAATATGTGCTTATTGCCAGTGAGGAAAAGAAAATTCAGTCCAACCCATATAGGATCAAAATGACCAAGAGTGTTCAAAATGTCTAAATAAACGGTAAAATGTCTTCTGAAAGACATTATTATTCCAAATCCAAATCCAAATTATGACATTAATAAGAAAACTCTGTTCAAAACTTTTGAAGTCCTATTTGTTCAGTCTTACATTTTCCCACGTTGATCTGTCAGATATCTATGGAAAATGCACAAGCATGGTATGAGTATTACCATGAGTATGAGTATTATCTGTTGCTCATATTCCCTAATTTTTAGAGTCATAGTTATTTTTGAAGCTTAAATTATGTAGCTATCAGTATTAATAATGATTAGTAACTCCAACCCTCATGAATTTATCTCATCTCATGTGAAATAAGTCATATTCGCCCTCATTTTGCCGAGTGATTTGCTGGCATTGTTTCTAAAGACAAACTCTACAAATGATTTCTATTGTGTGTTTTTTTTGGGGGGGGGGGGTTGCCAGATTTTATATATGTGTGAAGATTACAGGACTTCTTTGGCAGAATTTCTGGGCAGTTCATCTCATTTTATCCTTTTACTGAATAATAGGGGGGAGGGGGTCTCAACCAAGATTTGGCTTCAATGTTTTGGAGGTTTGGAATTAGTGCAGTCATAATTGATTTTTTTTCCCAATAGTTTACTAGAAAGGGATATACATGGAGAAAATTAATGTGAAAAGAAATAGATATTGTCATATCTCTGAATTAATGATAGACTTTCAATAAATGGACAATGGATAATAAAACAATCTTCTAGCAAATGGAGCTATTTTCTAATTTCTATCCTACAATGACCATATCAACTTTCCTTTATAAAAATATAAACTTTTTGCTGCACAAGGGAGGGAGGGAGAAAGAGAGAGGGATGGAGGGAGAGAGAGGGGGGGAGATCTTCTTGCTACCTCTCCCAAGTAAATCAAATGGAAGGTATTTTGGCAATAGTTCAGGCCAACAGCTTATTAGATACTCCTGTCTCACCCACTGCTGACCAGCTGCTAAGGCTTGATCCAAAACATGGATGACTCCATAATGATTATAACTGTTGGAGAAGAGACTGTGCGAGCTAGGCAGAAAAGTCATGTGGGGAATTAGTCTGGAATCTCTACATAGGTACAAGAAGACAAGGTCCAGCCCCCCTTTCAACCCTGTTGAACCTTATCTAGTCTGGCCCCAGGTGCAAACCACCAGTCTGAGAAGATTCCTGTGTTATAGGCATGAACAATAAAATAACTATTTGAAATCAGGTGCAAATCTGATTTTTTGCACCTAACAATTACAATACTGCTAGATGGTTCTGTACCATCAACTCTGACAAGCTGCTATCTACCTCTCTGGGATCTGAGGTCTGAAGTAGAATCACAGTGATGATCTATTTGATCATTTCATCCCCAGAGAACCATGAGGATTTCCCCGGCTTCTCTTTAGCTCCATATATATGCAGAACAGAGAACTCTTGCCAGAGATATAATTTTATTTTAGATGGTCTTTCAGATAAATGATGTGCCAAGCCATGCATGGATGCTCTATATGTTGTGCCATACATTCTTTGTTATCTTTTCTTCCAACCATTACTACTTGTTTCTAATAACCATTTGAAATCTCACTTCACCCAAATGTCTATGTGTATAATTTGTACTTGAAATGTTTATCCAGTACTTTGAAGATGCAGAGTGCTTCAAAATGTCTTAACAACACATAACTTTGTATAGCAATTATGACAACAGTAACAACAGTAACATTGCAATTTCACTCAATGTGAAGTAAATTGGCCTGCAGGCTTTGCTAAAGTATCCATAATTTATTTTAAAGCTTATATACAAGTTTTCTTTAACCAAGGATCATCCACAAAACAGAATTAAGTAATTGTTAATATTTATTTTGATTAGGAATATGATTATTATGATTCTTGCATTAGGAAAAGAAAACTTAATTTATGTGATTGTTGCATTTTTCAATCTTTTATGTGCAAGAATCAATTAATTACAAAGATTTTCTCTTTTCTTGTTTATTTAG